CCCCCCCTCTCTCTCTCTCTCTGCCTCGCCGCGTGGGTAAACTGTGCTGCTTAAGTACCCTGCTGACTCAGCCCTGCCGACCCTTCACGACTGTCACACCCACTCCCTCGCACACCGCGTGACACTTAGTGTGACACTGCTGTGACACTAGTGTGACGGGGCTCGCTCGTTAGCAGAAGGCGAGGAGGGAACACACTCATTACCCCACATTGAAAAACAAACACACACTTGCTCGCACATACGCTCACACATACACACACCTAGAGCTGGAAGTCCCGGAAAGTTTCATGAAATTTTCCTTATTTTTCCTGAAATTTTCAAAAATTTCCGGAAAAACACGTGTGTGAATGTCGCACCAGTCGCGCCCTTTTAGGTTTCGGAACGACATTCGTACTTAAGCTACGTATGTTTTGAAAAGTTTTTTTTAAAAATTAGTATGTGTGGGCTACGCTCGACAAGTTGCCCCAAACAGGTGCCAAGACGAGTGGATGATTATAGTACGCAGGATCTAACGCTACGGTTGAGTCACTTCTGCGATATGAACTCCAACCACCACGAAGATGTGACTCCCCTCGTGGGCAGGCTAAGCAGGCTGATCAGCCCGAGCCCTCACCTCCCTCCCGCCTCCGCCCCCGCCGGCTCGGCAGCAGACAGCGATGGCTTCCAGATGCACCCGCTATTTGCGGGAGCGTAAATAGTGCCTGGCCCGCGTAAGGCAGCACTACACCGCAAAAAAAGAAAAAGAAACTTATTTTTTGGTGTCCGGCCCTGGTCGAAGTTGACACACGAGCGCGCCAAATGTGGTTGGCGTCAATCGTTGGCACTGTACAGAAGAGTACCGCAGAACTTCACGCACTTTTTTTGTGTGTCTAGAGTTAGCCACTCGCAGACTCAACCAGGCGGAGGATGCCACCCGCGTCGAGTTAGTCACTCACCTAGCGCCAGGAGGTGGAGCAGGACGAAGGCGACGACAGTGAGGGTACCCATTGCGACGACGGGGCCGGCGTGTCACGCGCCGTCACAGCTGTCACACGCACACACTAGGCGGCGGACATGCCACCTCGTCACGACCGTGTCGGAACTGTCGCGCGGCCCGTCACTCGTCACGCGTGACGTGCATCATGTCTGTCCCGTGGACGCGTCGTCAACCCCCTCGTCCACTGCGCGCTGGTGCCGCCAGCAGACTGCACGGCCCACGGGGCCGGCGCCAGCCTGCGCTAGCCAGGCCTGGCCGCTGCCGCGGCCGCTCGCGCGCGCCCACCCGAGGCGTTCCCTCCAAAACAATCCAAGGATGCTGCTTAGTTCACGCCATTATGAGAGAGCTCGGCGCCTGCGAGAGTCGGGGTAGGTCACCCCGCAGTACGCGCATGCTTTACGGACAATCGTGTTGCCTACCCATCAGGCGCCATGAGATGCCATTGCGTTGACTGAACTTTGCAATACTGTCACGGCAGATGACGGGCCCGCCGGACGCACTTTTTGGCTGATCCCTTGTCTTTGTTTCTCATGAAAAACTACTTGCCTTGTGAAATGTTGGTTAACAGTTGTGTGTATAGGCAAGGTGTCCGCGTGGAGGGTGAAAAGGAGCGCTTGTTGCTGCTCGCAGGGTGAAATGTAATGCTTTTAGCTCCACTCCCGCTCTTGTAGGTGGAAGTGACTAAGGAAAAGGACGCAAGCCTAGGCGCGTACTCGTCTTTCTGTGTATTTCACAGACGGATACAAATCGGCCACACTGAACACTCCATCAATTGTAGTTTTAGTTGAATTATAAATTTACGACAATGCACAATCGAGCATCGCTTTAAAGTGTAAAATTACTTTAGGCCCAAAATTTTTACACATTGAAATATCTTTCAAGTGAGCATGTTTCAAGTAATCTTGAGTTACTGATTTTACTGATACATATTGCAATTAATGAAGAGCTAATAGACAGGACTAAAAATATGTTAAAATGATTAAGAAAACATAGTTTGTTTAAAATTTTCCGATCTACTGCTTGTCTTGATAGTGAGATTACTAAATGAATGTACATTATAAAACAGGTGCAAGAGTGCTTCGTCTAAGAAAACCTAACTAACATCAGGAATACCTTTTTAAATAAATTTTGACTGATGGATCTAACTTTGTACAATAGGACAAGCTTTACTGCATTAAAGCTATCACAATGTATAAAAGAATATGTCAGTCTATACAAAATATCAAAGAGCAGGAATAACTATGTTCTCACTCAACCAGCAATCAATAATAAAACAATTATGCAATGCATCACCATGCAGAGGGACAAATTGAAACCGCCCTGGTCCCGACAACACACCCCAAGAGTGGACATATCCACAATTTACTGCAGTGAGGGTGAATGTTTACCCTCTACTGTAAATATAAAGATAACTTGCAAAAGGGAAAAAAATCACTGTGAAATCCACAAGTTGTTTTTGGTTTTGTTTTTAAAATATCCACAGGTCAACTCCAGAATGATTATCCACTGACATCAAAAGAAGTTCCTAAACAAACACTAGCAGATATGGATCACAAAAATTAGTAACATCTTTTTCTACTTTTGCCACTTTTGGCTATGAATACATAAATTTTGATGACTGCTAACCTAAAAAGTACACGCAGAGTAAATTTCCGAGTTGTGAAGGAGGTGGGGTGTTCAACAAGTCCCTTGACAAATAATCAAACAGATCTTGGTGTAGTATCATTTGAATCACTTCATATACCTGGCACACCATTGCTTAAAATGAACAATGAGAATGCTGACATTCAATGAAAATAGATCTGCAAATTTTGGCAGTGATAATCACTGTTACACTTGCTATAACTCATTATACATTATTGTGGTCTTATTAATATCAAATTTTGAAAAAGTGAACAGTAAATTATGTTCCAGAAAAATACAAGTGATAGTTTAAAGTCACAAGAATAAATGTTCTGGTTTTTACTGTACAAAGCCCTTGTTCTAAGCTATTGTGGGCAGCACTTGCTAAGGGAGCAGCCAAAAATCCACCCACAAACATAGAGAAACAACCAATAGAGTAATAGAAGTTACGTACAGGCACAGGGTTACTGTCAGTTATAAAGTATAAAAACATGTAGCTTGACTAAAATTTGGATGATACTCAGAAGATCTGAAAATAAAAATTAAGGCTAGCACTGCGTATGTACAAGGCATCAATAAACACTGAGCATTGTACTACTGTGGATTTTCAAAGGCATAAAACAGGTAAGTTAATTTTGAATTATTCAAAAACCAAAAACAAGCAACAACAAAGGAAGTACCGCAGTGAAATTCTCAGTACTGAATACGACCTTTGACAAATGGGTACCTAATGGAAGTGTAATTATTTAATTACAAACAACTAGGTTGGAAAATTACTTCCCTACATATTCACAAATTTGGCACCAACCTCTTTGAGTCTATTCTTCAATATCAGGACCTTTCCAATTTTATAACAATGGCAACAAATTCCAAGTGTTTTCACAAGGATCTTGAGTGGTTCCATATTCAATAAAATTAACAGATCATTGGCATTTTCAGATCAAATAAATAATACACATGGCATTAACACTAATACCATCTGTTTAGCAAATATCTTAACATAGAAATAAAATGCAAAGTATTATTCAACAAACATAAATTAAAACAATGCAAACAACTCATGTTTTAATGTAATATGCATCAACAAGACTAATGAGGGTGGAAACGCGTAGTACAGAATCAAAATGCAAAAGAAAAGGAATAAAAAAATACACAAAGTAACGGCAGATCATTAAACACAAACACATTCTCAGAAAAAGGGTTAACACTGATTAAAACACCAAAGAAGAAAAAGTTACCTACCACATGAAACAATTTGAACCAGGAATTATTCCAGGGTTAAATGTCAAAGAAAAAGAAAATGTCATCAATGACCACAACCTCCACTCAACAATGTGCGTGGAAAGGGATACTCTTTAGAAGCTTGGAACTATGGTAGGCAATTCGGTATACAAAATCAAAGAGGAAGAGAAAGAGGACGGAAACATGTAAATTAAAAACTTACAAAAACAAAAAACCATAGATTCACACCTTAAGGATTTACCATGGTATTGCATTTGAGTTTTACTCAGTAATTGAGGAAAAGTTTGTGGCCAATACTATGTAAATAACCATCGTCAGTATCTTGGTGTCTTGAGCCAAACAAAATGTGATGTTAATGTCAACAAAGAAGTGTTTTGTAGCAAATGAATTCAGTGACCGTCATACTGACTTCAACAGAAAAACGCTTTATAAAATAGCAGCAAATAGTACACAATATGAACCTTTCATTTGAGAAGTTAAAATAAGGATACAGTGATTGATGTAATGAACTTCATTGGAATGTTATATTTCTTCAAAGAAATTATCAGATAAATTATAGCGATAAATGTGGAATCTAGACAACCACTCCATAATTGCCTTCACCATAACAAAACAAGAAATAAAGAAAAACAAAACAGAACCTCATTCCAACTTCAACAATCAATTTACAATTCATACAACTACTGCCCATGTTCGTGCTTTCACACATCAGAAGACTAAAAACTTCCAAACCTAAGCTCACACCCCAGTCTGAGAACCAACAGAAAAAGAAGTTAAAAGCAATTTAAGGACATAACAGAATGACTGTTCAACTGGAAATCCATTTGCACGAAACCTATCTGCTAAAATTGTATTCTCACACAAAAACATGTGCATGGGGTGCAAACTAGGAACAGTACTCAGTACCTCCAACTTGTTTTAAAGAGCTATTCATTTGTAATAACACACAAACTTCAACACTTTCCTCACACACTATCATTCACAAAAAGGAAAATTTATCACAATATCAGAAAAGTATATACAACAGGAGAACATTTGTTAATGTTTCCAATTAATTAATTTTTTAAAGAAAAAAACATGAACATACAAACTATGTACTTAGACAATTCAAAGCATGAACATGGCAGAAAAAAGCGACTGAGAAACCAAGGAACATCACCAAAATACTATGGTAACCACATTGGCTATACATATATTTGCTTTTTATAATACAGTATCACATTTGACTTTCTCTAGACAAAAAACGCACAACATACTTCCCAAACACTAGCAGACAGGAAACAATTGTGAAGAATATCTGTCTGAAACACATTTCACATTTCATTTACCACATATGATACATTAATGGCGCACACATTCATATAAATATCCTTAGATATATAAAATTTGATATTCTTCATGAGATTTAGTTTCTATGTACAATAATAATATTAAAAGAAAAAAACACCATCTAAATGAAGTACACAGTACCCTTGGCAGTAACTACATGCATGGCAGGAGCAGAAGAGAAGGTCAGATGTAAATAACTTAGAGAAAGAGAAAATATTTTACAATTGACTCCTTTTCTGCAAGTAATTTTTTCCCATGGAACTTCATTCTAATAATTATGTTTACTACTTCCTGTCATGCAGTGCTTTACAATATTCAATTTGAATAGTTAATACATGACTGAACTCAAGCACGTTGAAGTCGAGTTGGGTATCCTCTAGGGGCAAGGAACCCTATCAGTCTGAAGAGTGAAGTTACCAAAGAGCAGAATAGACACAGCCAACATATCTGTATAAAGGATAGAGTAAACTGTTAGTTGAGAATGAAAGGAAGAAGATCAGAACAATATAATAACCAAACTACAACTTACTACATTGCGATCCTAGATACTATTTCTAATTATCTCCTCGAACTTCTGCCCCTCTGTAGTAAGGGTTTCTATCTTTGATTGGTAATGGATGAGCTTCAGTGTTCAGAACCCAATCATCAAGGGAAAAGAATGAATCGTCACTGAATATGAGATATAGGTACTGTGTAAACAAGAAAAAGGTTAGGACAAACAAGTTGATATATAGATAGACTATTATGAAGACATTAAGTGATACTACATGATCCAAATAATGAAAGTACCTTAAGTGTTTCAGCAAGGAAGAAACTCTGCTGAACGTCATCCTTCACAGGATGATCCTGGTACACATTTTTGAGTCCTGTGTATCCTCCAGGTACTCTACAGTGCTTCTCAATAGCCTATAGGAATTATTTTTTCAATTAAAGGTCAACAGAAACTCAGTTGGTGGTCACTGGCATAAGAGTAATTCCTAAGAAATACAAACCTGAACGGCCTCCCATGCCCAATCTCGGTATTTTTGATCATGAGTTGTTCTCCACAGCACAAAGTAAGACTCAATAACTTCAGGCCTGAGAATATAATACTTTTCAGAAACTCTGAGGGCCTTGGCTTCTAAGGATTCAGTGAAACGGAATACTTCTGGACCAAGTTTCACAGCAGATCGATCGTATGACTCATGGCAAGTATTTGTTATGCCAGCAGCTGCCTTTCGGTACTGATCAGTCATCTCATTCTTTTGAGTCTTTGCAGCCAGAGCTAGTAAACCACCTACAATCAAAGAGGTTAGATTAAGTGATATTTGTGAAATAGTTGTACACATATTGGGAGGCCACAGGAAAAAAATTCTTTACCTGAGAAACATGCTAGATGATCCATTTTATGTTCAACAGACTCAAACTTCATGTCTGCAAAATATGTCAGACCTCCAGGTGACACTTTTAACATGTGAATAAACATGTTACTAAGAGCTTCATCAAACATTTCTCTAGCTTCTTGGTCATCTTGATTGGACTGAATCCAAGCCTTGAGGAGATACTCATAAAAGCTGTCTCCTAATGCACCCATAGATATGTGCTCTAAAGAGTCAAACAGAAAAGCAATGGCAAATATAAATAAGTTTGCATATCCTGTTTTGTGATTATGCTCCAAATTGGAGTCACACAAATACTTACGCTGACCCCATTTGCCAGTTTTAGGGTTAAGATAATTGGGATATAGTCCTCTTGGTTTGGCAGTGGAACGAAGAACTCTACGAATTTCATCTATCTTTTCTCTGTAAATGTGATTGCCTGTCACATCCGACAAATATGAAAACTCAAGGTGCAAAGTGCCAAACTCGGAAAGAATACTTGATCCTCCACTTGCCCAAGCATAATTCTTACTGAACTGTAAAGTAGACGGCAGAAAAATAGTTCTTAGTTAGTTCACCCATGTACCATTGCTGTACATAACAGCCAGCCAGATTGAAACTCACCCCAGTCTTCAAATTGATTAGTGCATTGGGAATACCGGTGGGCGTTTGGAACGCAGGCAGCAGCTTCTCTGCTATGTGTTCTGCCTTGTCCCTGAACATGACGTCACCAGTCAGCGAATAGCAGGTCAGCAGGCCACCCACAAAACGAATGTTGGTCTCAAAGACAGAGACGTCGATGCTCTAGACACGACAGAAAGGATAAAATGCAACATGGCTCGAGAGCAACGTAAAAAAAAGAGGGAAAAAACAC